GAGCACAGCATTCGAGGGGCGGCCTCCCCAGTGCCCAGCACAGGGGGACGATCCCTGCCCTGCTCCTGCTGGCCACACTGGTCCTGATACAAGCCGGGATGCCATTGGCCCTCTTGGCCACCTGGGCACACTGCTGGCTCATGTTCAGCACGCCCCTACTTTCCATCCGCTCCAAGGGACCCTGCAGGCTCCATCCCGCCGTGCTGCTGGCCCCCCCTCGGCACAGGGTTACCCACAGGGCTGGCTCAGCGCAGGCACCCGGATCCCCCTGGACACAGGGGATTTGGGGCAGCCAAAATGAAGAAATCCACGCTGGGCTCCAGCCGGAGCTCGGCAGCACCTTCACCATCGCGTTCAGAGAGGAACGGAGACACGGTGTAAACCCACGGGCCACGGCAACGGAGGCGAGAAGGCTGAAAACATCCCGAAGATTAAAAAAGCACCTGTACACACAGATTTATCTGGTTTAAGAAGGTACAGGAGGAGTCTGGCGAGTGCCACCAGCCAAAATTCCCACCCTGGGGTCGGCGCAGCCCCTCACGCCGCCGAGCTGCTCTCCGGCGAGATTTTAATAAGCGCAGAAGCAAAGAGACCAACTTTGCATCCTCCCTTAAACTCACTGGCGAGTCAGGAACGTTCCCGGCAGCGTCTTCCACGCACCGCGCGAGGGGGAAACCAGGAAAATACTGCCGCGGGAACACGATGGGCCCGGGAGGCTGCAGGGAGAGCGGAGGCACGGGCGGGGAGAGTCGGCTCGGCCGCAGCTCCTCAAATACCTGATTGTGGGGCAAAATGGCAGCGGTCAAAGCCACAGGGCAGAGGCCACAGTAGGAAGAGGAAGACGAAGGCCGCCTTCCCCCCTCCCGACAGCCTCAGGAGCTTTCGACCAGCCCCTCGGCAGCGTTTAGCAGCGCGGCAGCACGCTCGCCCGCCGGGCTCGTGAGGACGGCCGCCTCCGCACGCCCCAGCGAGCCGGGAGCCTCCCGGAGAGCCCAGGTTCAGGGAAATCCCGAAGGAGATCCCTGGGCCGCGGGTGCTTTCGGATGCCAAGGCCCCTGCTGACAATCGGCGCTGGGCAGCGATACAGGCAACCGCTCGGACACCAGCTGCTCGCCCCCAGGAAGGTAAAACCACGGTACGGAGCAGGAGCGACGGAGCCGTGCTGGTTTATATCCGAGCTGACAACGCTGCAGAGGCAAAACGCAGCAGGGAAAGCAGGGACGGCTTTTTCCAGGAGAGATGCTGCCTCTCGGATGGGGCCGATCGCTCCGGCTCCCGACGCTCCGGCTCCCTGGAGGGGTCAGGAGCAGGGAAGAGCAGGGAAGTCCCTGCCCCATGGCTAGGGAAAGGGATACAGGGCTGAGATTCAAGGCAAGAGTTAGGGATCCAGATCGGATCCAGCCTGCGGGGATAGAAGGTGATTTTCCTTCTGTTCCCAGCCGCCGCACCGGCCCGGCACACCAGCAGCGGCGGCAGCGCACCAGCGGCTGCGGCACACCAGCGGTGGCGGCGAGGGCACGTGGAGTGTCCCGCTTCCCCCACCTAAAGGGATTGCAGCCCCATCACCCGACCTCTGAGCAATTAAAAACACTTAAAATGGCCACAGCTTTTTAAAAAATCTGCCGAAGCCCCTCCTCGGCAGCGGCTACTCGGGAACGGCGGGGCCGGGGTACGGAAAGCCCTCTCTGGGCCATTTCAACCCCCCATTTCAAACCCCGACGCGGGAGAAGGCCGTAACCCCTCACTTTCCGAAGCAGGGACTGTTTCAGAGCCCTCCTTCAGCCCCAATTACTCTAAAATTCAAAACCGCTCAACTCCCGGCGGGACCGGCAGGCTCCCAGCTCCGTCCCCTCCCCGCTTGTTACGTTCCCCTCATCCCCTACACCGAGCACAACGGCTTTCGGCAGGCTACGGCTTTCGGTCTTGGGGTGACAAAATTTTGCAGGCCACAGGCAGAGAAGGCTGAATCCCGCCGGAGCCCTCGTCCCTCCTGCTGCGTCTCCGGCCCCGCGTCTCTTCCCTCGCTCCGGCTGCTAACCGGGCATCTACGCCGGCACAGCGCAGGCAGGGCAGTGCAGTGCAGGCAGAGCGCCCTGCCCCGGTACTGCCTGCGTTGTCACCCGAGGCTGCGGGCAGCTCCACCTGGATCGGGATGCGGGTCCGGGAGCAGTTTGGCCGGATCAGGATGTGGGTCCAGGGGAAGTTTGGCTGGATCGGGATGCAGGTCCGGGGGGAGTTTGGCCGGATCGGGATGTGGGTCGGGAGGAGTTTGGCCGTCAGCACATCACCGTGCTGAAATCCCGCAGCCGAGCCGGTTGACTGCAGCCGGCTCAGGTTTCCAGCCTGAAATCCCAGCGCTGGCACCAGCGCATGGAGAGACGGACCCGGCGTTCCTGCCCGCCCGGGGAAACGTGCCCTTAGTCACCCTCCGACGGAGGAGCCTCTCGAGCCAGGCACTCAATAACGCACTTCTCCTTTAAGTCGCTGATTGCTCCGCTCCATCCAAAGCCACAGCGGCGAAGGGTCTGGAAAGGCGATGGTTTAGGGTGAAACGGCTCGTTGGCCTGGCGAGGGTGGGCTCAGCTGCCTCCGTACACAAACATTGTCGCTACCCTGCGGCTCGCGAGGAACCGCGGCCCCTATCCCGCGGGATCAGAGAGTCATGGAGTCACTGAGGTTGGAAAAGAGCTTCAAGATCGTCGAGTCCAACCGTTCACCCAGCGCTGCCAAGGCCACCACTAAACCACGGCCCCCAGCACAACGCCTCCCC